GTGTTGCCCTAACACACCAGCAGCTTGGTGTGCTGCCTCTGCAGCAGAGGATGTATTTGGGTGAGGTGTTGGTGGATGTTGGCCAACTGTGGCACTGTCTTCAATATGTGTCAGGACAATGGTGCTGTCTGGAGGAGCCAATGCAGGTCAAGTGGGTGTGGTCATTGTTGCCAAGTTTCTTTAAGAGAAGGACTGAGGTCAGTTTGTGGTTTCCTGCTACCAACTGTCAAGTTGTTGATTAGGGGAGAATAACCAAAGTGGTGTTAATTGGCTTGTGGCAGGCCAATCTGCCCCTATATACATATAGGCTACATAGATAGTCTAATGGAATCAAATTCTGGTGCCTTAAGGCTGCGCAAGGGTCCTGCACTGCCACTCTTGGCGCAAACTCTATGGTCACTCACTACCGCCTCGTCTCCTGCCATCGATGTGGTATACAAGCTGGCGAAGACCAAACTGTGCGAAGCACTGGAGAGCAAGGTCCCGATTGCTATTATTGAAGTACATGGCAAAGACCTCATCGTGTCCGCCGCTAACAGCGGCACGGCAACACCCGTAAGTATGGAAGGCGGCAGTGCCAGTGCGAATCTGGGAGCAGCGGCAGCGTTCAACCCACCTGTGGCTCAGCCAAAGAGCACGAAGAAGCCGAAAGAGGTACTGAACACATCGACCGTCGAGAGAGAGGCGAGGTTCATGGCCAGTGCGGATGATTTGTTCGACTTGCTAACGTGCGTCCTCCATAACTTAGGCGCCACGCGTTTCTCACGACGGACAGCGACGAGCGCCGTATTCCGACGTGGTCACGCGCCGCAGCTCATTATAGGCCCGAGCCTGGTTTTGAATTCTCGCTGTTTGGTGGAGGTGTGACTGGCCAGATCACCGACGTTGATCGACCAAAGAAGATTGTATCCACATGGAAGCTGTCCAGCCCGACATGGCCTACTAATCACGCTGGGACGCTTACTATCGCCTTTGATCAAGGATCGGACTCGACGGAGGTAAGTTCTCATTATCGGGCGTGCCGAAGGGGATGGAACAGGAGCTGGAGAGTAATCTGGAGGGATACTAGTGAGCCTTCTGTGTTCTCAATATCACCAAGACACTGATGCGCATCTTCAGCGTGAGGAGTCTGAAGTCTATTGGGTTAGTTCCTCTCGATCCTTTTTCTGCATTCCGCCCGCCACGGTTTAGTAGACTTTGGACAAACGGCGAAGTCCTCGTTCGGCAAGGACATGCCCATCACGGTTTCCACTTTGGGCCCAAAGTGATGCCGCGCTCGTCGCAATCGGGGCGGTTGTACTCTCTTTTTTTGTCTTACAAGGATGTACTAATGATTACTTTTCGGCATCTCACAGGCTCGGTGCGATTCTGTAATCTCTGAACGGAACAGGGTAGGCGGTTGAATAGATGAACTCATTGTCCGTCGTCAATGAGCGTGGGCGCATACGTGCCAGTCGCCATGCTATGTAAGCACTTTGGTCATGTACAGGTTGGCCCGGCCCGGGAGCACACCCATCTCAGGGACCAACGAATACTCATTCACGAAGTCGCTCAACACATTGCCAACAGCCTTCATCACACGGTCCCGTGGGCGCTTGTCTGCTTTGCTTGGCATCAGAAATTAATCGCCTGTCTTGGTCGGCCGGACTCATGTTCTCAGGCACTCGCGCTTTGTCGGCCTCACTCTTGTGGCTTAAACAGGCGACCAGCTTACGGAGATGATGAACGTGCTGTTGCGTTTCAAGAATGCCGGTGATAATGGCCTCCGTTGTTGGATTGCTGTTGTTCGGCTACACGACATTGCCCTGAGGAGATCGAAACGAACTTCGAACTTCGACTGAATCATTCGTACCAGCTGTCCGGAATACACGGTCACTTCCAGACTACACCGAAGGCCGATGATCTATTCTTAGACTCAAACCGGTACATGTACCTCGCGGCAACTGGAGCTTGACGATAGCCTTCTGCACCACTAGCACCTCATTCTCGCACCTGACCTGTGCTCGACATCAAAAAATAGCGTGAGTGCTTGGTCATGCGAGCGCGAATTTACTCGCGTAACCGGGCTTCATTCGATCGCACAGTCAATTTGACTAATCTTACCATTCCAGAGCAACATAGCGGAAGCCAGGTGACCGAAAACGCAGTCCCTCCTTTGCAACACCAATTCACTGCATTCATTTCCTTCATTCCATCGGTGATCGCACCTACCACAGGACTTTCCGGGAAGGTTGGTTGTTCAAAGGTATAAAACATTGCAACAAGTCTCAACTTTGTCTTTCGTTGAGCAAGTCAAGCGTCCCAGTTTCAGAAGAGTCATTTTCAACACAACTTCATCTACTCCAACCATGCTCTTCCTCTCCTCAGTTGTTGGCCTCGTCGCCTTGCCGCTCATGGCTCAGGCCGTTGCTGTTGAGAAGCGGTCGATTCTTGGTATTGACACGTTCGGCGAGGCTAGTGAGTTGGAACGGGTTAAACACCTCGAGCACCACTGATTCCACCCAACTTTGCCTGCAGGCTGCCAAGGCTTCCAGGAGTTTATCCACATCACTCAGCAAGGTGCCAACTCGAACACTTTCCCCGGTCCCAGGTTCGTACTATGTCTCACTGCGTGATAACGATTCGAGCCATTTTAACTCAACACAATAGGGTGTCGTTCTTGGTCACCGAGAGCGATGGTGACTGTAACTCTTTCGTCCCAGAATGACGGCACCATAAACTCATCACTTGATTAGGTGAAGCCATCTTGTGGACCGGTGACTTCAACGGCGATAAGCTTGTCTTCCCCGCGTCCAGCTTGACTGTTGGCACCTGCTTCGGTGCGTCCAACGGCGAAGCGTTCAACTCCTTCGACTTCCGTGAGTCGCGCCTATTGCCACTCTCAAAGACGATCTAACCGGTATGCATGACAACAGATTGTTTCTAAGCGCCGAAACCGAGCGAGTCACTCTTGCAAGGTTCGAGTCATCCGGAGCGGACCTGACGGGTCCGTGCTGAAACGCGTGCCATGCAAGTTAGTAACTACAACGTCCAAAGAAATCACTCGCCTGTTCCGAATAAATATCGTATGAAGAAATGCACGAATTATGACCGCAGAAGGTGACATAACCATGAGCTAAACATATGTGAAGGTGGTTCCGGCTTGCCAGAAGCGGATGACCAGCCAAACACGGGCTGTGCGGTGAGAAGCACGCATTCCCAATCAACTTCCCTGTGACTACGAAGCACCCGCTAACTCCCGCGATTCGGTCGGCGGGAAAAGGATTGGCTCTAAGGGTTGGGTGCAGTGGTCCTTTGCTGAAAATGCACTGGACCCGGCTGGACTAGCTCGGGCAACCGGGCCGTGTCCTTCCTCGAGAACCCTTACTATTTCATGTTCGCTTCCCTCGCCGCCCCCCTCCCCGCAATCGACGCAGCCATCCAGGGCATGTTTGCCTTGTGGAGGAGAGGATCCTGCCTTTTCTTGAGTTGTTCTGCTTTGGCCATGAGCACCTTGATTTCCTTGTTGTTCCATTCAACTGTGTTGTCATGGTTTTTAAAAACCATTGCGGAGGCAAATTCTGATCTGTCCCATGATGATAGCAGGCAGGACGCTAACCCAGAAAATCGCAAATACGCGCACTCCTCGTCCTCGAAAAGCATCAGACCCTTCTTCCTCCGCCTTCTTCCTATTGAGTGGTACCCTAGGCAGTTCATGTCGTCCCGACCGTATATGCTGATTAATTACCGGCGCACCGATTAAAACACCCCGATCATGTGTGTTCTCCAACTACCAGCTAACGGCCCATTCAATTGCGGGCACTGCCATGTCTCATGAATCATACATAACGGGCGGCATTGATGCCCTCATTTCGTTCGTGGATCAGAGTGCTTGTGATGCACATTGACCAAAAGGCTACGTTCTGTTCCCGTTGCAGTGGCTAAATATTGTTTATCTCACTCCCTGCTGTGCTGAGCGTCATGTTCGCTTTAGTGCAGTCCCCTCCTTTGAAGAGGCATTCAAGTATCGGAGTCGATACATTCACAGGCAACAGTCAATATGAAAACCTATGTTATGAACTTCTTAACCCCTTGACGCAGATTGCATCGGCTTCCAGGAATTCATTCATGTAGGTGCCGTCGGCGCTAATGCCAATCTGTTTCCTGGACCAAGGCACGTAAGATCACTCCTGCTTGTAATGCTCTCCAGACGCATATATCGTAGGAACTCATTTCTTGTGATTGACAGCGATCTCACTTGTACGGCATGGCTTAAAGTGCCGATCAGCAGTCAATAAACGTTGGGTATTGACTACCGGTCCAGGCGAGGGAATAATGTGGACCGGCGTTTTCAATGGCGATAAGGTGGTCTTCAACCAATTCCAGCTGACACCTGGAACTTGTTTTGGCAATGGCGAAGCGTTCAACTCTTTCGACTTCCGTACGTACTTGCCTGCATCGTCCGAACCACTGTGGGCTGACGATGGTCAATAGACTGCTTTTCGAGTATCATGAGCAATTTTGGACGTGAGATATTGCACTTCAATCGCAAACGATTATTTCCTGACTTCTGCATCAGCAAAGACGAATGAGCAGGCAGCACCCACTTCTGGTCTCATTGAGTTCTCCGAGTTTTCCACGGTCAGCCATCGTATAACTGAGTGACACTGAGCTGTTGGGTTAGGCTAATTAGGTATGCGGTACG